GAGGTGGCGAGAATATTAGGGTTCGAGAAGCGAAAGGACGAGTGGGCGGTTGGCGAAAGGAAGAAGACAGAGTCTCCTTCTCTGCCCCCTTTTATCCTCGCCTCATCCGCGCTCACCTCCTCATTTCGCGAGCCAATAACTGCCCTCACGATCCTCACGCCCGCATTTGTCTCTTCGCATCCCGCGCCCAATCATCACGTCGCCCATTGTATCCGCTTCCGCCTTTAGTGCGCCCGTTAGTGGCACACTCGAGGTGGAGGGTGCAACGGCCATGAGCACAAGTTGGGCAAACCGTCACCGCTACCGCCGCAGGAGTAGCGGGCGAGAGAATCGAGGCGTGGTCTAACTGACCCCCTGGTTATCGTGCCTCAAGCGTCTTTATCATGAGCGTAGTCAGAGGCGGTCAAACCGCTGTTGTGGTTAGTACGCCAACCAGGCCACGCGGTGATATCCTTTTGGATTCCCTGCCGGGCCCACAACCCCAGCTCGAGGAGTCGTGAGGCGCCATGTTAGAACGATCCCAGGAAATCGATATCTGATATAGCGTCAGGGGCTACTGTCAGAGATATGGGCCCAGGGGTACGTGAAGTAGAGGGGAATTACTTTCCCTCCGGCCACATGACTCTGCAGGTTGGCCCCACTCGCGCGTCACGCGAGTCGTGAAAGCGGCGGGGGGGGGGGGGGGGCCTCGGGGCATGACGTCACCCCCTCGGGCTCTCCCGCGGCTTCGCCCCGAGGCCCTCACCCGGCCGCCACGTGGCAGAGGGAGAGGGCAAGAGGGGAGCATAGGCTGAACAGCCATAAATGTGCGACGCCCCAATTGTCCCTCACCGCATTTAATGCGGTAAGGGCAGACGTGCGGCGCGCCTAGCTAACCCCTGTCCATCGGATGTGACCGGTCTGTGACCGGCCCGTCTCCGTCACATCCGATGGATAGGGCAATCATGTCCTCACGTCGCCCTTGTCCCCGGCGGAGTGGGGGTGGGTATGACCTGTCACATCCTAGCGTCACTCGAGGAAGGGCTGTTGCATGTCATCGTTCATTTATGAGGGAATGACAGGGCTGTCCCCCGTGTCAGGCGGGGGGCGGCGCCGGGTTCCACTCGAGAATCGGTTATTGCTTAGCTTCCGGGAGAAGGCCCGGTTTAAAGCCCAAAAAGTGGAGTGGGGTCCCCCCTATGGAGGGTAGGTAGAGGCGGCACATGTGGTATCCCCTTAAGCTATAAAAGGAGGACCCTGCCCACTGAGATGAGGGGACGACTCCCAGAAAATCTGAACTCAAGAAGAGAGGAAGCAAGTGCGCTCTCTGGAGTGAAGAAACCCTTGTAAAACTCATCCATAATCCCAAACACAGGAGTAGGGTGTTGCGCTCCATAGCGGCCCGAACCTGTATAATCCGACTACGTGCAAGCTTGCCGGTAATCTTAGGGACGAGCGAGTGATTTCCGAGAGGCGGGCCTCCGCCCCCGGCCAAACTCACGAAAGCGGGGTCCCATGACTCCCCGCTATTGAGGATCTTCCCTCGACACGAGGCAAGGGTGGGCGTGATGGAGTTGGGTCGGCCGGGGTGTCCGGTTGATCGGCTTCCGGATTCACCGTGGCACGAGAGGGGACTGCCCGCTGCCTTGCGAGGAGTGGGGGTGAAACCTGAGGTGTGGTGCGATTGGTTAGATTTAATGTTACTTTATTTACTCAACAGTTTTACTGTTTTGCTCAATAAAATGTTTTACAACCGCCTTTATACAAATAGCCACAAACCGTCCTTGTATCCCCTTGCACGTCTGCATCGTTGGTGTGGCTTGCTGAGTACGGTAGTTGTACTCAGTCTTGCTATTGTTCCCCCTTTTCAGAAGTGTATTGCTTCTGAGCTGAAGACGAAGTTAGAGGACCAAGGCTCAGACCCCAGTTGAGTTTTGCCTGTGGAGTGGAGCTGAAGCTCCGCTAAGATCGCCTTTTTCCGCTGCTGCTGCTTTCGTTTCGGTGTGAGGACTAACTGCCTATTATGTAAGTATTTTACGCTTTATTTACGTTTGGATCTGTATATTAATTTGTCGTTTTGTGTACCTTGGTTGATGCCTGGACATGGATTTAATACACAAAATAGTCTAGAAATTTGGGCTAAATTTCTGGGCGTGACACCCGGCATGTTGATGCCGACGCTAGCCATCACCATCTCTGATCATGTGAGAGCAGTAGCAGCCGCCATGGGAAGAGAAGGGAGCGAGGCGGATGCAAAGGAGGAGGCGAGAGGAAGAAGAAGAGGTGGCCGTGTGGGCTTGGCGTAGGGGACGACCGGCGAAGAGAAGAGAAGAAAGAAAAGAAAGAAGGGCCGCGACGACACCGGATCCGCGGCGACGACACCGGCGGCGTGGCGATAAGAGAGAGAGAGAGAGAGGTGACGACGACGACGGATCCGCGATGGCAACGATGATCGGATCCGGCGGAGCAGTGACCGCGCTGCGGTGGCGCCGCCATCGCCACCGCTTCAGGAGCACGAGGACAACGTCGTGGTGGCGGTCGCCGCTGTCGGCCACCGCACGGAGACGGGCGTCCGTTGCGACCTCCTCCACCTCTGCCTTGGCCTCCTCCCCCAGCACCGCGCCCGCCACCGCCGGTGCCGCCACTACCTCCTCCTCGATCTGGCGGCAGGGAAGGGGGCAGATTCGACGGCGGCGGCGCGAGGCGTGAGGTGGTCGCGACAGACAGACGACGGCGGCAGCGAGAGAGATGAGAGAGAGGCGAGGGGCGGTGGCGGAGACCGAGCGCGAGGCAGAACGGATGAGGGGGATGGCGACGACGCTTTTTGGGAGAAAGAAGCGAGAGAAGAGAGAGAGGGGGTAGTATAGGAAAATAACTACCGTGGGCTTGAGTATCTTTATCCAGTTGCCTCATATTTTGAGGAGCCCATCTAGGTGTCCTCCATTGTGAGGGGAGTTCCCCAGAGAGTGCCCATCTAGGTGTCCTCCATTGTGAGGGGAGTTCCCCAGAGAGTGCCCTCAGTTAGTGAGGGCACCCATGGAGTGTCCCTGATTGTAGATACCGTAAAGCTCAACATGCAAACATGTCACCTTATCATCCAATAGCAATAACTACCTATTAAATAGCTCATGCAAACATGTAATATCATCCATAATTTATTTTGTTCTACAAATCAAAATGCAAATAGATCCAACCATCACCTCTCTCGTTATTTCCATAATATTTCAACAAATATATTCATCATTTTTTATAATACTTAACATACATTCATCCATATATTCTGTATCAAAGCGAAGATATTATTTAGTTTGTTTCATGTTTACTACTAATAAATTCTAGCTTTTCATTTCTTTTTTTTTCTTCTGCTTCTTGCGATACAAATCTTGGCCAACAACATAAATTTCATCTATAATACTCTACAAAGTTTATTAAATTTATTTCTCTTCAAATATGGCTTGACAAATTAGTTTTATATTTGCTGTTAATAATTAACAACATACTTACTCTTTGCTCGATTGTTGAAAGATATATATATATATATATATATATATATATACACACACACATATATATATATATACATACACACACACATATATATATATACTATCCACATTTATATAGATGTTAATGGATCTAGACTTATATAAGTCTAGATCCATTAACATCTATATGAATGTGGATAGTGCTAGAAATTCTTACATTATGAAACTGAGGGAGTAGAAATTACTTAGTAATTCCCACAGCAAAACGTAGGGCATCACCTAGTTTGTATTTTGTTTGTTCTCCGAACAGTCCAATACTCCAACCGAACGGACCCTAAGAGCAAGTACAATAGCAGATTATAAGCTAGCTATAACCACATATCGAGAAGAAAAGAGAAGAGAGAAGAAAGCGGGCTATAAATTTGTAGCCAGTTGCAACACGGACTCAAAGATATTATTTATGTAGATATTAATGTTGTAGTATGAATGGGCTATTAGAGTAGGTACAATAGCAGACTATTAGCCAGCTATAAACATATTTTAATAAGATAAACGATGAGAGAGAAGGGAAGCGGGCTACAGATCTATAGTCAGCTGCAGCACGGACTCCAAGACACACTGTGTGTATGACATGTGGGATCATATATTAATAGTATAGTAAGCAATTATTGTATGTATTGGCTATTAGATTGGCTATAGATAAATTGGAGCTAGTAGTGGGCTGTACTATTAAACTTACTCTTAGATTAGCTATAGATAATTTGAAGCCAGTAGTTAGCTATGCTATTAAACTTGCTCTAAGTTCATTTATCGGGCTCTCAAAGGACAGCAAAGTGCGATGTGCTATGCTATTAAACTTGCTCCAAGTTCATTAATCGGGCTCTAAAAGTACAGCAGAGTGCGATGTGCAATGTCGCGGTGCTACGGCCTCGATCCGTGGCAGTTCACCATCGAGCTCATGGTTTGGACGTTTGGTCACCACCAAACCAAAGCCAACGAATCATCCATGTGGACGGAGAACGAACCATCCACCAACCCAACCTGGTGAGCTGGCTTTTCCACACTTCTAATTTCCTAAACTCACAAGTCACAAGTCAACAACTACTGGCCTAATAAGAACTCTTACAAGTAAAAGCTGGGCGTAAAGTCTCTTGTAAAAAATTAAAAAAAAACTACGGGGCGTACACCGGGTCACTGCCTACGGCCTACGGCTATTCCGCAACGCGTGTGAGGCGTGTGACCCGTATTTTTCTCCATACTGCAAAACGCACCGTGGACGCGACGCGCGCCACATCGTCCGCCACGCCGACGGTCAGCCTCCACACCCCGGCTTCTCTCCCGCGTCAAACCCACCGATCGTCTGGTCCCACCGCTCCACTGACACTAGTTCCCGGGGCCCCACCTCGTCAGAAAAGCGGTTTCTTCTGTCACGCGCGTCCTCCGCTCCGCCTTTCGCTTCCCCCGAGGCCACGCATCCGACCGTCCGTGCCGCCGCATCCGACGGCCGCCTCGAACCAACCCCGACGCGGCGGCCACAACTTGCGCGCCGCTGTGCGGTAAAGCGTCCGGTCCACGCGCTGTCGCCCTCGCCCAGACGCCACCGCCGCAACGCGTTGCTGCGTGGAAGGAAGCCCTCCTCCTCCTCATCCCCTTCTCCGCCGCGCCCAACCACCACCCCGAAGCGAAGCCGCGTGGAGGTGGAGGCGTCGTGCAGATCGGGGCTGTGCCGCTCGCCGTGGGATGCCGTTCCAGCCCCGGAGGTGAGGTAGCTCGACGTCTGCTTGTGTTTTTTTTTTCTTTCCCCGGCGCGGATTACTGAGGCGATGGCGGAGGACGGGGAGGAGAAGCTGCTCGCGACGGTGCAGCACATCGTGCAGACGCTGGGGAGCAGCGACACCATGACGGAGGACATCCTCAGGGTCTTCTCCAACTACGACGGCCGCCTCTCGCTCGACAAGCTCTACGCCGCGCGGGCCGCGGCGGCCTCGGCCGCTGGCGGCGGCGGCGGCGGCGGCTTAGGGGGAGGAGGGGAGCACTCGATGCCGGAGTCTCCGACGCTGCCGCTGCCACCGCCGCCAGCGGCTGCGGTGTCGGCGGCGGCGGCCGCGGGGAGGCCGCCGCCCGTGACGTCGATGGAGCGGACCGTCCGCACCCTCGACCGCCAGATCTCGCAGTTCGTGGCGATGGACAGGCTGATATGGGCGGACTCCGCGGACGCCGACGCGTTCCTTGAGGCGGTCGACGACCTCATCGGCACCGTGCAGGAGCTGGAAGCCGCGGGGACCAACCGCGGCCTGTTCGACCGCGCGGAGGAGCTGCTCAGCAGGTGCATGGCGCGCCTGGAGGAGGAGTTCCGGGCGCTCATCGAGCGCCCCGACGACGCGGTCCCCGCGGCGCCCGGTGGGTTCCGGTCGGACGGGAGCGACGACGAGGAGGACTTCGGCGGCGGGGACGGCTACGGCGACGAGCCGATCCCAATCGCCAAGCCGGTGACGGACTACGACGTGGTGATCGACGCGCTCTCGCCGGGGTCGGTGGCGAATGTGCACCAGATCGCGCGGAGGATGGTGGATGCCGGCTTCGGCCGCGAGTGCGCCGAGGTCTATGCCGCCGCGCGTCGCGGCTTCGTCGACGAGAGCGTTGCTCGCCTCGGCGTCCGCCCACGAACTGCTGAAGAGGTCCATGCCTCCTCCTGGGAGGAGCTCGAATTCGACATCGCCCGCTGGATCCCGGCCTTCAACATGGTGTTCCGTATTCTGATTCCCAGTGAGCGCCGGCTATGTGACCGCGTCTTCGACGGCCTCGCCCCCTTTGGGGACCTTGCCTTTGTCGCCGCCGTGCGCACACAAGCCTTGCAGCTCATATCATTCGGCGATGCTATCTCTTCCTCCAGCCGCGCTCCGGAGCGCCTCTTCCGAGTGGTGGACATGTACGAGGCTGTGCGGGACCTTCTCCCTGACCTTGATCCTGTGTTCGCCGACCCGTACTCTGCTGCGCTCCGTGCAGAGGTCACGGCGGTGTGCAACACCCTCGGCTCATCGATCAAAGGCATATTCATGGAGTTAGAAAATCTCATCCGCCGTGATCCTGCTCGAGTTGCAGCCCAAGGTGGAGGCATACATCCCATCACTCGGTATGTCATGAACTATCTCCGTGCTGCTTGTGGGTCGCGGCAGACATTGGAAGAGGTGATGGAAGGTGACTTCGGCGCTGTTGGTGGAGCGGCTGCTGCAGTTGACCCTGATCGTCCCACCTCGTCGCTTGCTGTGCACATAGCATGGATCATGGATGTCTTGCACAAGAATTTAGATATAAAGTCGAAGATATACCGAGATCCATCACTCGCTTGCGTCTTCTTGATGAACAATGGCAAGTACATCATTCAGAAGGTGAATGATAGTGAACTTGGTGTTTTGCTTGGTGACGAGTGGATCAAGCAAATGACAAACAGAGTGCGGCGTTGGAGCATGGATTACCAGCGGGTAACATGGGGCAAGGTCACAACAGTATTGCAGACTGGCGGTCCTGGAGTAGGTGGACTCCCTGCCACGGCAATGAAGCAGAAACTCCGGATGTTTAATACCTACTTTCAGGAGATCTATGAAGTACAATCAGAATGGGTGATAGCAGATGAACAGCTGCGGGTGGATGTTAGGGCAGCAGTGGCGGAAGCTGTAATGCCAGTATATACAGCCTTGATTTCTAGATTGAAATCATCCCCCGAAGCCAGGCATGACTTGTACATCAAATACACCCCAGAAGATGTTGAGGCATGCATCCAGCACTTGTTTGAAGGAGCAGCTAAGTGATCAGTTGATCAGTACGTTATGGTACTGGCGTGCTGCAGCCTGCAGCTTCTACTACAGGGTTTGTGGAGTTCTATCATGGATCCTGGTGAATATCTGCGTCCCATTATTGGTGATTTTCATAGCTTAACCTTTCATCCTCATTGTTTGTATTTTGTCCTCCATGAAGAAATCATGAGGTAAGACAAATGGTGTACAACTGTACATGACTACTGTAGGTGTATCTGTACCAATTAGTAAGGTGATTATTTTGTAACAATCAGGACTATTTTTCCATTTGTTTCAACTATTTCAGATTAACAGCTAAGTGTTTATGTGTGAATTTCTGTTATTTACTTTAGGAAGTTTCATGAAGTGCTTAAACAATCGAAAAATTGGTTGGAAGTTCTATCTATCATGACTTTGCATATGATCTAATTCTATGATCAGATTGTCGGTAGCTTAAGATGGATGCCAAATCACGAAATCCATTGGTGGAATATGATATTCATTGCAGAGGAATGTGATAATTTAAACAATATGATACTACTGAGTTGGCTGGCAGCACTTTTGAGTTTGGAGTGCTGCATTCTGTATCATTCTTTTCAGAATGTCGACTGGTTTTACCTTCTGTCAGGTGTTTTTGCTAAAATGAACTGGCGAATTTCTGCTTACTAACTTTTGTTTTGCATCCGACATAGTATGTCTGGAACTAATCTTGATGTTTAAGTACATGCGCCTTCCATCTCAAAGGAAAAAAGAAAGGTAAATGTAATATGTTATTTAGGTGTATTAAACTATCAATACAGTACCAACGCTGCTTTTGGATGAGTTACCTGTGAATTGTGACGGGCATTGCATGAACCATCTGCAAATTCAGGTACGGCGCACAAAATTTGCAGAGGCTTTGTTGATATTGGAATTTGGACCTTACTCATTGACTGAATTGTCAAATTAACATTGGATGCATTTGTTCCATTGCTGCTATACACAATGCTGTTTCCTTGAAATAATCTTAAGATCTCATCTCAGTTTAAGGATTGATGCTAATCCTGATAGCTATACATCACAACATACTTGGACGCAAAAAGGGAATCTGAAAGTCTACATTGAACCAGGTCCTAGAGGCTAGAACAGAACAATCGCCTACTGCCTGAACCTGCTAAGATCCGGCGGTTGACATGTTTCTTGGCGGCGCTGGCGCGTCCTCGGCGCCGCCGTCGTTCACGTGCCACACGTCCTGGGCGCCCGGCACGGCGGCGTTCAGCCCGCCCTGGTCCTGCTGCTTCATGATGAGCACCGAGTACGGCGTGTCGAAGTCCGACGAGGCGAGGAGGTCGCCGATGACGCCGAGCTCCGGGCACTCGCTCCAATCCGACATCCCGTTCGCCGGCATCACCGGGTACCACCTGTGCCGCATCCCGACGAGCACAAGGTCGTAGCCCGCCTCGTCGAGCCCCCGCAGCACCTGGACGATCCTCTCCATGTCGCCGACGAGCTCCTCCTGGACCTTGATGTTCCTGCTCCTCGCCGCGAGCGCCTTCACCTCCTCGATGGCGCGGTTGTCGATCCGGCGGTCGGACGGCTCGTCCTTGATGCCCCGCGCCGGCAAGAACCGGATCACGCCCACCGCCACGCCCTCGTGGCGCGCCATGCGCGTCGCGTAGGCCAGCGCCTCGCGGTCGTCGCCGCCGCCGAAGAAGAGCGACGCGACGGCCGCCTTGAAGCCTTGGCCGCTGCCGCTGGCCGCGTGCCCGCCGCTCCTGCTCCTGGAGGACGTCGATTGGTCTTGCACCGGGCCCGGGATGAAGGCGCAGAGGCCGACGCTCCCGGCGTTGCGGTCGACGAACACCGCGACGGAGCACGGCGCGACCTCCAGCACCTTGCGGTTGACGACGCGGAGCCCCACGGCGGCGCGCACGCCGCCGGCGAGCATGTGGCGCTTGTGGTAGTGGAGGAGGATGAGCGACGTGCGCTTCTCGACGGCCAGGCGGCACACCTCGTCGTGCATGGAGGAGTAGGGGGAGATGGTGGTGAAGGGGTGCACGGACACGGCGCCCTCCGGGTGCTTCAGCTCGTACTGGAAGAAGGCGTTGATGATGCGGTCGGAGTCGGTGGGCGGCGCCGCGCTGGCCGCCGCGGCGCCGGCTCGGGAGGCGCTGTGGCGGAGCTTGTGCGGGATGAACACCGGCGCGGAGCGGCCGGCGATCTCGACGAGCTGGAGGAGGTAGAGGCTGAGCGGCGTCTGTGGCGTCGCGTTCGACGCCTCGAGCACGGCGAGCGTGCCGGGGACGTGCGACTGGTCGTGGACGCACGCGAGGATCCGCAGGTCGGCGTCCGCCTTGAGATGCTGCACCGTGCGCCGCTTGTACACGGCGTAGCGCCGCGCCGGATCGTACAGCCAACCGGCCACCGGCACCGACACCGCCGTGATCGCCACCGACAAGCAGATCAGGATGCTGAACGTGTTCTTGCCGATGAGCTGCAACGAAACCAAACCTCACACTCGTCAACGCGCATGCATGGCTCCATTATCGATTCGAATATCTTGCCGCCATTGGGAAGATTAAAATTCACCTTGTTGGTCAAGAAGAAGTTGAAGGTGATGACCTCGACGATGCCCTTGGAGTTCATGAAGAGGCTGAGCGAGACAGCGTCGCGGAGTGGGATCTCAAGGTACAGCGACGACACCATGACGCCGACGAGCTTCCCGACCCAGGCGAGGAACATGACGACCTGCAGCCTGCCCCAGTGCATGCGCCACACGTCGGTGCTGAGCCCGGTCATGGCGTAGTAGAGCGGCAGGATCAGGCCGGACACCATCGCCTCGATCTTCTCGCCGAGCGCCGTGCCGAGCGGCGGGCCGTCGGGGATGGCCAGCCCCAGCATCAGCGCGCCGTGGAACGAGTTCGTCCCGATGACGTCGCTGTAGAAGCCGACGAGGAGGACGACGAGGAGGAAGACGAACACGTAGGTCTCCTCCACCGGCTTGCCCGGCGGCGTGCGCTCGATCACCCGCAGCGCGACGGGGCGCACCACGAACAGTATGAACGCGGCGAGCACCGCCAGCGAGAGGAACGCCCAGATCGACGTGGCGGGCGACACGAGGAACGCCTCGGCGAGGATGTACACCACCATGATGATCCACGCGATGCCGTCCGTGGTCATCGACGCCGACATGGCGATGCGGCCGAGGTCCGAGTTGAGGAGGCTCAGCTCGGACAGGATCGGCGACAGCACCGCGAACGACGTGACCGACAGCGAGGTGGCGAGCGCGAACAAGAACGTGGACCGCCTCGACACGTCCGGCTCCGTCGCCATGGCCTCGCCGGAGGAGCCCGCGCCGGTCATGGCCAGCGGGAGGAGGAAGCCCGAGAGGCCGATGACCACGCCCTTCCTCCCGGAGCGGACGACGAGCCTCGGGTCCATCCGCACGCCGATGAGGAAGATGACGTACATGAGCCCGAACGTCGCCACCGTGTTCAGCACCGGCTCGCCCCTCGCCGGGAACACCACCTCCCTGAACGCCGCGTGCCGCGACAGCACGGACGGCCCAAGTATGATCCCGCCCTGAAAATCACGCGCCAGAAGCTTCGATCATGTCGATGTCACTGTGGGCAAACAAAGGATCGGGGAAACGAAAGCATATATGCAAACGAAAAGTAATATGTGAATAAAACTTTTATATACGTGTTCTTAGCGATATAAAAACAAAGAATAAAAAACTTTGATAAAAAACCTCAAAATATTGGAAGTATAAAATTTGGCTGGTAAACGTAAGCATAAGAAGAAAGATGAGGCTCGAGGGGGTGGACGTGCCATGATCTCGGACACGACGCGGGGCTGCTTCAGCGGCTTGAGGAGGAAGTAGAGGACGCGGGTGACGGCGACGATGAGGACGAGCTGCACGCCGAGCAGCGGCAGCGACGCCGAGAGCGGGCTGCCGCCCTGGAAGATGTTCCGGCCGGTGCCCGTGGTCTGCGGCACGACGTAGCAGTCGATCTTATCCATTCCCAACGATTCCTCGGCGTCTGCCTCCTCTGCATCCGCGCCCCACTGCGCGCGCCGGCAATGGCGCGGTCGCCGCGCCGCTGGCTCTTCTTGCCCCCCGCGGCCCGCCCGCCTCGTCAGGCTGCTTTGGCCATGGCGGTTTGCTGCAACGTGGAGGGGATGAGTGGTCGGAGGGCGAGAAGAGAGGAGAAATCAATGACATGTCAAAAAGGTTCAGAACTTGGTATCCTCGAGAATATATTAAACTCAGTTTGTTTAGCTCCATTTTTGTGGCTGTAAATTGCTGATGCTGTAGAGAGTTCCTGCAGGAGAATCTATGTTGTTAATAATAGTAAATCTAAAATTGGTGTAGTGTACTTTTACTGTGGCTTATACAGATATGAATCAATGAACATATCCATAGAAATATGGAATTAACACAAAACAGTCTATGCTTGATGAAGATAATAACTGGATAAATTACACTTTGAACTACCTCTAGCTCACTTTACATTTGTTGTACTTTGAAACACTTCTCTCTTCTCTAGCTAATCATATTTATGGTATCCACCTGAATATTCTCTAGCCATATTTATCATATATCCTCCCGTAAATGTACAGTATGTTTATAGGTTGACAGTATCCCGATTTGTATCCTAGCATCTTAGAATACTACGATTCTACCAAGTCGAAATGGTACCGATCCCACCTAGTATCCTAATTTTCATAGTATCTCAATTCTACTATTCATTACTATACGATCCTACGAAATCTTTGGTGGTATCCGGATTCTACGATCCTTACGATATTACAAAATATTATTTAAAATAAGATGGTTTAAAAATAATGTAAATAAATATGCTTAAGTTTATATAAAAGTCTGTTAAATATATCAAAACCAACGTGGTTTCTCTTGATAAATGTATCTATTTGCATGACATATATTATTACTACAATTTTTTTATATATAATGGCTATATGTAATTAATATAAATATTAATTAAACTTAAAAAAAGAAGAAAATCTTATATAGTATTCCAATACTACGATACGATACTACTTTAAGCAAAATGATACTAGGATCCTAATACTGGCAACCTACTTCATAGGTGAGGGGAGTTTGTTGGCTTCTTGGATCTGATGTGCTCAAGTTTATTGATATGCTGAAGAAGTGATATGGGGTAATCCAGATCGCAACAAAGACAAATTTAGTTAGCCTAAAGTAAAAATGATTTGATTAAAGGTGATTCGATGTAAAACTCTTTAAGAGTAAAAGTAGTCCAAAGTGCAATTCTCTCCGGATAAATATAGTAGTATTTTGGTTTCAGTTCTACTATTTACATTTGAATGCTATCAGTTATACTTTTTCCTAATGCAAAATGAAGACTAATAATATATTAGTAAACTACATATAAGCGTTGTTAACGGTCTACATGGCTATCAGCTAAGCAAAACGAAAGCTAACTCATCTACTGGAAAATCTCTCACCAAAAGAAACCTGTCTAGATGGCTGCCACATTTGCCATTTCAGTCCGACAGTGTCCACAGCGGCGAGTCGACGATGTCGGCGTCGAGCTCCTCAACCTTGCAATCCCGAGTCGTCATCACAGCGTCGACGTCGAGGTACATGGCGATGTCATCCAGACACTCGAACATCTCCAGCTCAGGCCAAGACGCGTCCCACTCCCAATCCCAATGCTGCGCCATTGCCTCCGTGCCGCCGCCATCCTGGAGTATGGCCGGCAACGGCAACGGCAACACCACCGGCTTCACGTCACGCTCCTCGAACACTGCGCCGCCGCCGCTGCCGGCGACGGCTGCAGGAGAACAGCCCGGGGTTTGGCGTTGCTCCGGCGCAGTGGCGGCGGCGGTGGTGGCAGGAGAACAGAACGGGGGTTCGCATTGCTCCGGCGCGGCGATGGCGGCGGCAGGAGGGCTGAATGCCGGGAAGTTGAGGACCGCGCGGGGACCGAGGATGGACGCGGCGGCCTTGTCGTAGGCGAGGGCGGCGTCGACGGCGCTGCCGAAGGTGCCCAGCCAGTGCCGCTTCCCGCGGTTGGGCTCGCGGATCTCCGAGACCCACTTGCCCCACCGGCGCTGCCGCACGCCGCGGTAGCTGCCCGGTCCCCGTTTCGCTCGCCGAGACGCCCGGGCACGGGCACCGCCGGCGGCGTCAGGCTCAGGCGTGTCGCCGTTCTTCGCGCGAGCTTGCTTCTTCTTCCTGGCCGCGCTGCACGTGAACAAGACGATGATAAACATGTCAACCACACCAAAAAAAAAAAGCAAAAAAAGAAAGCAAAACGACGCACTCACAGCACGAAATGGATTTTCTAAGTTTTGTTTGCAGCAATTTGTATCATGCTGATTGTTCTGTCTGGAATTTACTCAACGTCGACTCTGCTTTGCCCAGCTAAAACCTTTGATGGTTCTGTCTGCCTTGCAAATTTGCAACAGAGAACAAACTCCTAAAATTTAACGCTTTGTTTGAGCTTTGGAACTATTCAGGCCAATCCCTGTTCCATTTCTTAGTGATCAATCCTCAGTTCCTCACCTATCTCTACGGTGGAAATTTATCTAGAAATGTAACGGACATAATAGCAATTACTCCATCCGTTCTAAAATATAAACATTTTTAGCACAGTCACATGTCAAACATTTTTAACTTTGATCATTAATAACAAAAAAAATTAAAAAGATCAATCATATAAAATTGATGTTACCGGATCTATCATCAAACAAACTATCGTAATATACAACTCTTTTTATTTAAAACATCTTACTTTTATAAATATTGTTGGTCAAAGTAGCATATCTAAGACCGTGCTAGAGTCCAAAAATACTTCTATTTTAGGATGGAGGGAGTAGCAAACATGAAATAGAAAATTAATCCGCGATTATTTTTTTCAGAACCAAAGTTGTAATAACGCACAATCTCAACATGTTTCCCCTCCTACGAACACATCTATAGTTCCAAAAGAAACGGTCAAAATTTTTTAACTTCTAAAAAAAAAACCTATCCCCTCTAATTTCTCCACAAAACGTTCAAAAAAACTCTTTGCAGGTACACTCTCCTATCCTACGAAACACCGTTATCCAATTCCAATCCTTGGGTTACACTAAAAATCCTGCACCATTGCACCATCACATCGCAAGCATCCACACATTTCAGACATTCAGTTAGGACCAAATGTCTGACGCTACCTGCGATGATATTTCTGCCTGCACAATAGCGGCTAAACCACCCGTATTTCTGAACGCGCAAACAAAGTACTGAATCACGCCGCCAAAATTAAGCTCTTACCTCGACGACGCCGGCGGCGGCGGCGGCATCGCTGGCGCCTTCGTCTCCACCTCCATCCCCACGTCTCCTTCCCCCGCCGCCATCGATCCTCGCGACCGACCAACACAAAAATCCACACCGGCCGCGGCTCTTCTCCTGCTCAATCTAACTCCTCAAGAAAAAAAACCTGAGACACAACGAGATCGAGAAACATGTGACTACGCAACCCACATTGCCAGCGACGAGAAGATCGAGAGGGTACCCCCAATATCCATACTTGGTGCGCAAGGCAAAGAGGGGAAAGGTTCGAGCGGATGGCGGCGCGCTCCAGAACGAACGGCTTCTTCAGTTCTTCTTCTCCACTCCACTCTCCGGAGACACGGGTAAGGCGCGCCTCTGTGACATGGCAGGTGGGCCCACCAGAACAGCATTTATGGAGGCTCGCGGAGGCGTGGGGCCCACATGAGGGATCGCTTTCTTCGCCGCCAAGTTCCTGACGCATTGACATTTGACGCGGCGTTTGACCTGGTCTCCCTTTCCTTGTCTTCGACGCCTCACGGGCTTAAAGCCGAATAGCCATAAAGAAAAAAAAGTACGCCGAAGGTCTCTCAACTATAAAACCAGATAATACGGGGTCCCTTAACTATACAAAATCGGTCACAATAGATCTCTCGGCAGTTTTGATTCCGGTTTTGTCCTACATGGCGCTTTGATTGAATCAACGTGGGACCCACGTGGACCTCATGTGTTAGCCTGTCCAGGTCAGCATACCCTCTCTTTCCCCTCTTCTCTCCCTTTCTCCTATCTCTCTCTCTCTTCTCTCTAGGGCTCTGGGCAGGCTGGCGCCGCCAACCGACGAGAGGGGAGAAGAGCAAAGCAGTGGCGGCGGCAGCGGCGATGACGACACGAGAGTAAAGGAGGGGCGTCGACGCCGTCGTCGTCACCGAGCACCACCACACGCTTGGCGCTTCCGCCGTTGTGGTGGTCGTCGCCGCCACCACCACAACCTGCAGGGGGGCATGGACATCGCGTCGCAGATGAGCGGTGGTAAAAGGGGGAGATGGAATTCGAGAGACGAGGGGCACGCGCGCACCGAGGTGGTTCTTCCGCTTCCTGGTCTCGTGACGGCAATCCCTCGCCGCGATCTCCTCAATCTCCAGCCGGAAGCTGCCATCGCTGTCTCCTGCGGCCTCCGCTCTAGACGCCGCCGCCGCCGCTCTTCCTCGAGGAGGAAGAGGAGGAGCCCATCGACGAGAACGCACTCGCCTTCTCTTGCCAGATCTCCCGCTTCAGTGGTTGCGGCGGCGAGATCGGCTCCTCCTCCTTCCTCGGCGACGGCGAGATCGGCTTCACTTCCTCATCAACAACTTTAAGGATCCAAGAGCAAATGTAAGAAGCGTAAAGAATAGGGAAAAAATTTGGGGATAATCTGAATTCGATGTGGCTTCTCTCCCTACTTGGATTTGAAGAGGAAAGATTCAAGGTGGCTAGCATCTTCTATGGCGCCGCCGGCCGCCGGACCTCCTCCTCTCCCACCTCTCCCCACCGGCCTCTGTCGGGGAGCTCGACGTCGCGACGCTCGGTTGGAGCTCTCTTTCCCTCTCTCTGCGCCGTCGCAAGCGGGGTGGAGCTCGACGCCGTGACGCTCGGTCCGCCCTCGGGCTCGACCCCATCCTCATCGGCGCTGACCCCATCCTCGTCGGTGCCACACCAAGTCGCCGCCGCATCGCCTGTCATTGGCCACCAGACGAGGAGCAAAGTGAGAGAGAGAAGAAGGGAGAGAAGAGGGGAAAGAGATTGTCCTACGTGGCATCCTGACATGTGGGACCCACGTGGGTCCAATGCTGACTCAGCCGCTATATAGGACAAATCCGGCATCAATATTGCCCTGGGACCTCGGGTGATCGGTTTTGTATTGTTAAGAGACCCCACATATCTATTTTTACGGTTGGAGGACGATTTTGTAACTCGATGACAAGTTGAGGGACCTTCGGTGTACTTTTTCCTAGGCATAAATGGGGAAAGCGCCAAATAGGTCTAATGGGCCGGCCTGGCTTATCACGGCCCATTTGACACGCGACTGCACGCTTAAACTAGTTTGCATGTTTAGCATAGTGGAAACTTGAAGGTCTTAATTTATTTATTTTTTATTTGTGTTGACGTGATGGCAGGTAAACTTGAACCATGCACGTTTTGATATTCTTTTAGTTATCCAAGATCCGCAATCTGATTGTGGTTAGTTCTTCCAATGGAGCAGGGACGGCCTAGATAATGACGTCATGCAGGAACGACTCAAATCAATCAGGTTGGGCGATCATGGTTGCGTGCAACATGTCTCAACTTTCAGCTATGGCAAGTATTGCAACAGATTAGTATATATAATAATATAAACCCTTCTGTTATCACCTGCTATTATATTAAAGTGTTCATATGACACTTTCTGACTTTCTGGTGTTCATCAGACATAAAAGAAAGGCAAAAGAAACCCGATTCAGCAGAAACCGCCAAGGTTACAGATTATTTTAACTAGATTATTAACTGGGCTGATATTGTAATAGCATTGTTTTCTCGACCAAGATATTATAGTTTGCATCGGGCGTTTTTCATCTGATATGCCCTTTAGTGCTTAGCATGCATTGAATCTGTACCAGATGTCCAGATTGGACTCCTATACTTTTCTCCCAAATGGAGTGAAAGAAACTGGGCAGTAGCTGTTTGATTATTCGAGATCTTCTTTTTTAGTTTTTTACCATGTCAATGCTACAATTGACCTGTTTGAGTATTTAGATTTAGGAAACAACCTCGTTGGTGAGTCGTGGGACCATTAACTCCATTAACAAACGAATTTGCAACGAAATTTTCAGTTAACTCCATTAAAAATTCAAACTAGATGGTATTACAACTGTCAGTCCGCCACTACCATTCTTTGAGACCACAATTGCAGGTCTAAAAAAAAATGCTGTTATACTTTCTCTCTTCTTAAATATAAGAGCCCTATTGAGTGGACAATAGTTGATTATATGACAAATGGTTTATTCGTGATAAACATTAATTTATAGATAAAACATTTATATGTTTTCTTAACATCCTAAAAGCCAATTTTTAAAAAAGTACGTTAAGATTTTTCTAAAACCATCTCCAAAACCAAAATTTGAAACTTAAATTTTAACAATAGCTGAATTGGCCAAACCATGAGGCTCCAAGTATTTTTAGGATTTAAGTTCACACACAAAATTTAAGTCCTGGAAATGATTATCCTACTTGGGAATTGATGGAGTTCTGCGTTTTGCAGCGGTAATCAGTTGCAAATTTTTTTACTACTTTTGTCTAGAATACAATACTTTCTCCGATTTCCATATATTGATTTTTTTTAAAAATATGTTTGATCATTTATCTTATCTTATTATAAAATATATAATTATTGTTTATTTTGTTGTTACTTGATTTATTGTTAAATGTTATTTAACCCTGATTTAAAACTTTTTTATATTTGCACAAAATTTTATATAAAACAAATGATCAAATGTTTATTAAAAAATCAATGACAACACATAATAAAAAAAGTAGAGATATTAACTTTTAACTATGTATCTATAAACTAGATATACTTTTGTTTAGATAGGTGGCAGAAGTCTCACTAAGCCTTGTTTAGTTCTAATTTTTTTTTCAAACTTCTAACTTTTCTATCACATAAAAACTTTTCTACACAAAATTTTTTATCACATCGTTATGATTTCAATCAAGCTTTCATTTTAGCATGAACTAAACACACCCTAATTTAATTTTTAAGACCAAGGTAGTTTGCAGGTCGTCGGCCCGTGGAGGTGGAACCCCCGGTCGCGCGGTGGCGTTTGCGAAACGGACGAATTCCACCGCGGGCGTGCAGCATCATGCATGTCTCTGTTTATCGTACGTACTACTACTACTACTATCAGAGAGGTATGCGGTCGTTCGGCCGGGTGGAAAACCGGAACGTCTCTAGCCGGCGTTTCCGCGGCGAGAGCCGAGAGCTTGGGACCCGTGCACCTGTACAGTGGCCAAGCGCTACGTTTTTTTTTCTTTCTTTTTTCTTTTTAATTACTATATCAGAGAGACCAACGCCTGACGGGCAGGTTCTCAGCAAGTTACGGCAAACACGACGAGTAGGCGTCAAAGGTGGTGGTTTGGTTAGCTCGCCTCTGAGGGTGTGTTTAGTCGGGGAAAAAAATTTTTAGGTGTTAAATCGGACGTTTAACCGGATATCGGAAGTGATTTTTGGACACGAATGGAAAAAATTAATTTCAGAACTCGCCGGGAAACCACGAGACGAATTTTTTGAGCCTAATTAAGCCGTCATTAGCACATGTGGGTTACTATAGCACTTATGGCTAATTACGGACTAATTAGGCTCAAAAGATTCGTCTCACTATTTCCCCCATAACTGTGCAATTAGTTTTTCTTTTTATTTATATTTAATACTCCATACATGTGTCTAAAGATTCGATATAATGTTTTTGGGAAAAACTTTTTGGGAACTAAACGGGGCCCTGAATTGGCTGTTGCCTTTGGCCACTGCACATCTCTGTGGCACGAAGAGATGTGCAGTGACTAACTGGTTATGTACTTATCAGGTCTCACCAGGAAAAATATCTGTACACGATATTGGTAGACCGATCTTGAGTAGTATTCCCTCTGTCCTATAATATAGTAACCTAATACTAGATGGGATATCTCATAGTATAACGAATTTAGACAGTCCATCCGGTACTAGGTTGCTATATTATAGGATGGAGGGAGTATATAAGTACGGAGTAGAGAACATCCTCAACACTTGAAGTAAGTTTTTTTTTCTGAACAAGAGGGCAGGAGTTATAGGATGAAAGTGTTATATGAGCAGAGTTTAATTTGAGCATTGGCGGTAGAGACATCCTATTGGCTGGTTTATATAGGTCCATTTATTTAATGCAAAACCTCAGTTTTCGTTAGCATGTTTTTAAATTGCTAAATGGTATGTTTCGTGTGAAAACTTTTTATATGACAATTGCTCTAAAATATAAAATAAATCCAGTTTTCTAATTTGAATAATTAAAAATCAATTAATTACATGCTGAGTAATGTTTTTTTTTGCGTGCCCTTATTTAATACCCACCTTAATTAGGTCAAACAGGCCATAGTGGTTTGAATAGGGCCATAGTGTAGGTTTCATAGAATTGCATATAACTTTTTTTATTGCCAAAATTGTCTTAGTATATGGTAAAATTCTGGCATTTGCTTTGAGAGAGCTCTGAGTTCTTGACATCAGTTTTGTTTTTTCCGTACTTGTTAGTGGCCATACAACCTCACATTTCTCATTGACGATGCTACGTTTTACACGAAACATTCCACACTCTGCTAAACTAAAATTCACTCCTTTCCTATGGTGATGTGAATGAGGATGTTAACTTTTTTCCCACCTAACCAGGTTCAATTTCTATATTTGGCTTAGTATGTCTCGTTTAATATGCATGCACCTGCGTGGGCGGAAAAATTTATAGTGCAAACCACATACATAGTATAAACTTGGAAACTATTATATGATCGAAAAATAAACGTTTGATATCTGTCCACATCACTATGAGTAAAAATTTTACTCCTCGTTAAAACTAATAGTAAATTTTGTATTCAGTGTGACATGGATGAATCTCACACATACGGTAGTTTACAAGTTTGCACTATATATGTGTGGTTTGCATCATATATTTTCCCTGCATGGGTTGGGGTTTTGCACCTCTAGCATGCATTTGGTTCAAAGGGTTGGGTAGGGTTGAATTTACTTTTTAAGATGTTTGGTTTGGGGACAGATAATGGTATAGTTTCTAATAGGGAATATTCTCCTAAGGTCCGGGTTAACATGGTCCCTTAAAAACTGCCAGACCAATCTAACCTATTTTTTTCACTCGTTGACATGTGAGCCATCTCTTAAAAAGTAACATTATTCCATCCAAAAACAGAGAGATGATTCTTACCCATCCCACCTCGTCTCCAAACCAACCACATGTCTAATTTCATTTCTCTTGCAAATCTTTTTTTAAAAAAAGCCCTAACAACTTGAATATAATTTTCCTTTATATCATAGTTTTTTTTCGGACAAAAAAAACGTGAATCAATATATTAGAAGAAAGCAAAGTATTTACAACGGGCCTCCTACTAGCAGAGACCAACAAACAAGAAATTTGCCGTAGACTTGTTTATGCAAAATCTGGGTGAACCTAAAATGGTTTCTGGAAACAAATGGCCGGAAGATATTTGCTCAACAACAACAAAGTAGCATTGCCAACACGGACAATCAACTAATACAATCACCAAGGAGGCAAGGATCACTCTCAGTGGCCCATCGTGCAAACACCACCCAAGGCACCCAACAAGTAAATAACAATGACGAGCAACAAGTGGCCTAATTGATCTACCAAACAAGCCTGTCATTCCAGATACACCCCTCACCTTTAGATCAATCTTTCTACCCATTTTCTTTTGGCACGAGTCTTCAGAAGAACCCCTTTGGCTCCACATTAACAAATAACAACAATCTCCTTTCTTACATCCACTGATCTACCCCCCCCCCCAACAAGTTGGCACATAAACAAGAGCAAAAACCTTGACAAAAACACCCTCATTACTATATTATTAATTATTGTTCCTCAATGGTACATCACTTTCCCAGAATTCTACTTTGACCCTTCTTGGTGCCCCTTGCTGCAACCAACCAGCCAGGCATTGTTAGGTGGTCTTTGATCCAGGGATCCCTGTCACATCGAATGTTTGGATACTAATTTAGAGTATTAAACATAAACTAATAATAAAAGTAATTGCATAAATAAGAGCTAATTCGCGAGATGAATTTTTTTTAGCCTAATTAATCCATAATTAGCAAATGTTTATTGTAGCATCACATAGACTAATCATGGATTAATTAGGCTCAATATATTCATCTCGCGAATTAGTCCAAGGTTATAAAATGGGTTTTATAATTAATCTAAATTTAATACTCCAAATTAACGTCAAACATCCGATGTGACAGGGACTTAAAACAATTTTAGCCCCATCCAAACAGGCCTCAGCTACACCCTCTTTCCTCTATTCCACCCATTGGAAAACAAGCTGCAGAGCCCAAAACCACTACACTTTTTTTTTTGTCCCTGATGCTAGAAAAAACACCATCCCAAAGGACCCCAACTCTCACAAGTGACCCTAAACCACTTGCTCCAAGTTGCAAAAACCACCGTTACAAATGGCAAGTGTAATTGAGTAAGTTGTCAACTTGTGTGATGACCATCTCAGTATTGGTTTAGCTTGATTGGTGATTTGCTGTTTTGCTCCAAGGTATATAAGTAGCCAGACCGTGTCTAGTGCTCTCTCTCTTTCTTGTGTGAAAAAAATATAAAAACCAAGAAACCTGTGTGAGATAAGAGCGTGGTGGGATGATGCCGTACACCGCTCCACGGCCGTCGCCGCCGCAGCACAGCCGGATCGGGGGCTGTGGCGGTGGGGGAGTGTTGAAGGCGGCGGGGGCGGCGGGGCACGCGGCGTCGTGCGTGGCGGTGCCGGCGGAGGTGGCGAGGCACCACGAGCACGCGGCGGGCGTGGGGCAGTGCTGCTCGGCGGTGGTGCAGGCGATAGCGGCGCCGGTGGACGCGGTGTGGTCGGTGGTGCGGCGGTTCGACCGGCCGCAGGCGTACAAGCACTTCATCCGGAGCTGCCGCCTCCTGGACGGCGACGGCGACGGCGGCGCGGTGGCGGTGGGGTCGGTGCGGGAGGTGCGGGTGGTGTCGGGCCTCCCCGCCACCAGCAGCCGCGAGCGGCTGGAGATCCTCGACGACGAGCGCCGCGTGCTCAGCTTCCGCGTCGTCGGCGGCGAGCACCGCCTCTCCAACTACCGGTCGGTCACCACCGTGCACGAGACGGCGGCCGGCGCCGCCGCCGCCGTCGTCGTGGAGTCCTACGTGGTGGACGTGCCCCACGGCAACACCGCCGACGAGACCCGCATGTTCGTCGACACCATCGTCCGGTGCAACCTCCAGTCGCTGGCACGCACCGCCGAGCAGCTCGCCCTCGCCGCGCCGCGCGCCGCCTAGATCATAGCTAGCTCTCCCTCTCCCTCTCCCTCTCCCTCCTGCCTGACCTGACCTGATCTCCGGCGACCACCGGCTCGCGCCGCCGCCGTTTTTCTCTTTTCCCCGGGAGGTTGATGCTTATCGCTTCTTGACTTCTTCTCGTGTTTGGCTCTTTGGGTGTAGATTGATCAGCGTTTGGTTTCTAGTTTGTTTGTTTTTTTTCCTCTTTTTTTTTCGCTTGTAGACAACACAGAGTACAAATCATTTGTGTGGGTGCTGCCTGATATTAACTATTGTTCATAGTTCATACACATGTAGTACAACTCTTAGTATCTATCTGTATCTCGTGGCCTAGATAATTAATTACTTGATCAGAGTTAATTAATTAGTGCACTAGAAATGCAATTTCCATGCAGCCAAATTTGCTGAAATTTGATGTAAGAGTAGGTGGTTTGATTTAGTGGACTTAATTAGGAACAGTTGTGCAAAAGGAATGCACATGGAGGTGTGGTTAATTGCAGTTGCAGGGGTAGTGACCAAACATTTTCATCGACACTTGTTTATGTTGGAATAGTGAGGGTGCATGATAGCTAATCGTGATCTGGCTGCTAATTAAAGTATCTAATCATCCTTATACTTCTGCTACTCACCACTGCATCATGCACGAACGGTATGTTAAAGATCGAACTAATATGGTCCATTGTCAATTTAATCATGGTACTGTGTACTATATATCAGCTCTGCAACACACATAATCCAAAACGAATCAGAATTCAGTTTCAGACCTCGTGGTTTTCAGGCTCAGTTGCTGTTCTGAAATATATATATATATATATATATATATATATATATATATATATATAGTTAAACAATTAATCCACCTGTATATGTATGTATGCTCCACTGTCGCGATCTAATATCATATTATCATAATCGTCTGACTTTGTGTGTATATATATACACTTCTTCCCCTAAGACTTTGAGAGTTTCAGACATTTTATTTAGAGATCTCAGGTGCCACCCGTGCAATGCTCAGGTCTACTGCTCAGCTATACATTTGTAGATCTCGATGCTAACCTCACTACTAAGAAAATACCCCATCCTGCTGCTCACACTGCACATATATTGGCCATACAAATACAGAGCTACACACTGTCAGAATGAGGAAGTAAAGTGGAACGATGCTTCATCCATCCATCATCAATGATCCATCAACTGGGCAAAAGAACTAGCTTGACAGCGATCAGCTAGGAGACCGTGCGGGTATCGGTGTATGTATGCGTTCGCTTAGGATTCTTTCTGCTCGACAGGTCGAGGTGGTCTGTGCCACCTGACGCGAGTGCATGCAAGCTAATATCGCAGCGAAAGCTTGGAGCTTGCTCTGATGCCAGTCATGGCGGCAGGCAATACAAACATGGAGCCAGCCAAGCCGCGTACATTGTGATTCTTGGGTATAGCTTAGTAATTACTCACTCCGTCTCTAAATATTTGACGCCATTGATTTTTTAAAATGTATTTGACCGTTCGTTTTATAAAAAAAATTTAAGTAATTATTAATTATTTTTCTATCATTTAATTCATTGTTAAAATATATTACTACTACTCAAGTTTTTGAATAATATTCACAAAGTTTTTGAATATGACGAATGGTCAAATATATTTAAAAAAATTAACGACGTCAAATATTTAGGGACGGAGTAGCTGGTTACAGTAGTAGTGATGACATGCTCAACTACTGGTGTTTCAATGTATCAATGCTGGCTGATCCGGCGAAATTAAGATATTCACAGCTCACAGATCGAGCCCTTTTGTACCCGTTGCCAAAGAAAATGGTACACATGCCTGACCAAATTGTACGACGTCATGCTAGCTAGCCCTGTACCGTGATGTTAAAAATCTGCAACTGGCAGTATGGTTATGAACATTTACTTCAGTTTTTTTTTTGCCCCTTCTTGTTTTATAAGGACCACTTGGCATTAACAAACTGAAAGCTTGCGACATATGGAGAGGAAAAAGAGTAGTAGCATAGGAGTTTATATATTTGGGCACTTGGCCAAGTTGTTCAACTGGCATTTTTCCCGCCATCTCTCTTTGCTCGTTCCCGCGGTCAAGCTTGCTACACAGGAAAGATCGATCAGCTAGCTATCTAGAGCAACTCGACCGTCGTGTTCGCGAAAAGAAAAGAAAAGGAGGAACAAAAATTAAAGAACAACTCGGCCGTTCGCCGGATTTGATTTATTTGGCCTCCATGCTTTGTTATTATCCTCTCCTTCTCCTCTTGTTTTTTTGCTAAGTTAGATGAGCTTGCGGCATCGCACATGCAAGTTGCCATGCAAGTTGGGCGCGCCGTGCTTTGCTTGCTTTGCACAGGGGGAGAGAAGCTTCGCCGGCGTGCTAATCCTTTTCTGGGGTTCTTTCTTTTTTTCCCTCTCCAACTGCTTCATTCTATCTATCTCTTCCTCGTAAAAGGAGATGCAGTTTAGGGCCCCTTTGAATCGTAGGAATGAAAAAACGTAGGAATAAAAAAAACGTAGAATTTTGATAGGAATGAGCGTTTGATTGGACCGCAGGAAAAACACATGAATTAGAGAGAGATAAAGACTCAAAGGAAAGTTTCCATGAGGTTTTACCTCATGTTAGAATTCCTCCAAAACTTGCATGGCATTAGGCATTCCATAGGAATTTCATAGGATTCCATAAGATCCATTCCTTTGATTCAAAGGGCTATATAGGAAAAATTACTATAGAAATAAAATCCTCTAAAATTCCTATAAATTTCTTTTGAATCAAAGGGGGCCTTAGTGGTTGTAGTGATCTGAGTAGTAGCGCAAAATCTCGAGTTCAAATTGGGTTGTTTGATGGGCTAAGTTCCTAATTTAAAATGGCTGCATATACCCAGTTGGATGTAGAAGCCAAAAAAAAATAATATTTTTTTTTAAAAAAATCGACCTCTTCGTCGCCGCTTGCAGGTATACGCTTGGGCTCTAAACGGCGACGACCACATCGACTTTCCGGAGGATTTGACGATGGCAAAGCGATTGGTCGGTCGATTGCAAGAGAGCATCGGTGGTTTCAAAAGGAATTGAAAAACGGCTGCTTTCGAGATGCGCCGGCAGCCGGCCGGCTTCTTTCTTTCAGTTGAAGTTTCGAATTTTAATTGCTTCGTTTCGTTTGTCTTTGGGAAAGGTGAAATGTTGCATTCATCAATTTGATAGGTAAAGACGGGCGAGATATCTCTATATTTTCCTCACGCTTAATTAAGGCACCTAACGTTTCGTCTATGCATAATCAGTAGTTGTCAAAATTTAAATTTTAAAACTTAATTTTAAAGTTTTTCTATTGAAGTTTATTTTTAAGTATTGACATTTAAATCGCTGATATCCGCGGTGCCCTCACTGTCCCGGTCATCTCCTAGTTTCTTCTTATCTGGGATGCGGTGCTTCACGTACAGCTCTCGCCGGTGACGAGGATCGTCTCGTTTGCCGCTGGACGGCTGACCAGCGCTACTCTGCGCGTTCGGCATAACAGGCTTTCTTCTATGGCCAACATTTTTTTTGCCTGTGCTGATCTTCTCTGGCAAGCAAAGGGTCCTACCAAATGCAGGTTCGTTCTTTGGTCCGCTTTCCAGCAGCGCTGCTGGACGGCTGATCTTCTCCAGAAGCGTGGTATCGATAGTCACTCGGCTTGCCCCTTTTGCGCTCAAGATCTTGAGATGGCGAACCACATCCTCCTCGACTACGTATTCGCTCGGCAGGTCTGGCTCCGGGTGTTGTCGCCTTCTGGCTTGTCTGCCCTCTCTCCACTCCGTGGCAGTTGGTTCCAGGACTAGTGGCCGTCTTCCAGGGCCTGCTTACCTGAGCACCTCCGCGACAGCTTCGACTCCCTAGTGCTCCTGGTCTCTTGGTGTCTATGGAAGGAGCGGAACTCTAGGGTTTTCGACTCCGCTCTCTCTTCGGTCACAGTGGTTTTGGAGTCCGTCCATGTGGAGGGCCATCTGTGGTCTTTAGCTGGCGTCGCTGCTTTTGGGGATTTGTTGGGAGTTTAGCATGGCTTAGCCCCTTCCCGCTGCTTGGAGTCTGTTTTAGCCACCGTAATTTCTGTAAGCTTCAGGTTTTTTTTCTTCTTTTACTTTTTCTTCCTTCCCTTAGCATAAGCCAGTCTGGCTGATTGCGTTTGTTTAACTAAAACTCTTTTCCTTCTAATATACTAGCAAAAATGCCCGTGTGTTGCAACGGGTGAAAAAAATTCTAATGATAATATACGTTTTTCATGCATAATCATGTCAATGACAATGTTTGTATTTTAATGAGCGACATGCTTTTTTATAAACGATGTTTTTTTCTCTTGCGCGATTTTCTCAAACCATTTTTCAAAAATGGCGCATTTCTTTCTAACATTTTTTTTCCTAGCATGTTCTTTTTGCTTTTTTTTTACTGACGACGAAAACCATATTTTTCTCCTTTTTTTGCTTTTCTTTTCTAGTGTGTTTTTTGCATGTTTTTTCTGACAATTATTTTCTCGCGTGTTTTTTTGCTTGTTTTTTCGAATGTTCTTTTTTTCTTTTTCCAATACAGGAGAATATATGACGAAATAAAAGCCGTGTAGTAGATGACAAAAAATCGATGGATCCTATCCGGCTCAAGTGTCCATCAATTTAACTTTTTTCTGACAGTTTTTTCGGATCGATTTGTTTTTTTAATAGGCGATGTTTTTTTACACGGTTTTTTCAAACCATTTTTTAAAAATGGCGCGTTTTTTCTGATAGTTTTTCCCTCGCATGTTTTTTTAAAATTTTTTTACTGACGATGGAAATATTTTTTTCTCGCACGTTTTTTTATTTTTTATGGAAGATGGAAAACCTTTTTAGCGTGTTTTTTTTGCGCTTTTTTCTGATTTTTCTCACACGTTTCTTTGAACCGTTTTTATTTTGTCGTGCATTTTCTCTTTTTAAATAGTTAGATTAGATTATACGTAGCGAAGAGATATATATTGGTTAGAAATCGGAATTTGTTTCGCCCCTTCTATTTTTTCCTCACGCGTATTTTTTATTTTATACAAACCATTTTTTCTTCTTAGAGAACTGGACGAACTTTTTATATGTTTTTTCGAATTTTTTTCGCCTTTATAGGAATCGGACTTTTTTTTTCCGTTTTTAAATGAATCAGATCTAGTATTTTTTTCACTTTTTTTTGCTTTTTATAGGATCGGATCTACGGTTATTTTCGCCACTTAGGAGAAACGGAGTTTTGTTGTTGTTTATTTTTTCTTTTTCTTTTTTTTTGCGGTTTTTCTTTTTCTTTTTATGCAGCTTTCTGCCTATGTTCTTTCCCTTTTATTATTTTTTAAATCAAAAACAACCTCAAGTATCTTATCACAAGATTATAG